ATGTGTGTTAATGTTTGTGAGTGTATGAAATGAATAATTCCAGGCAACCCGATGTTGTCTGTTTATAAAAAGACGTTGTGATTTCATTACCCTAAAACTGAATACAAATGAGTGTCTGTTCCCGTATTATCGACAGATGGTGTATTCTGTAAATTTTATAATGGTGTTAATTCCTCTAAGTGAGTCGTTATAACCATACTTGATAATGACAAATTCGCCTGTCATGACGTTCCTTGGGACGCCGACGGGTTTATGGTAAGGTTTGTCGCCTTAGACTGACCTAGTCTAACTATAGCGAACAGCTCAGGTGTGGGGTGTCACCCCCGTATAGATCTATACACAAACTCTCGATCTCCCTCCAGGAGACTCTGGTTATAACTACAGGCTACGGTTGTACACTCAATAGGTGCCAAACGAAATGTCTCACAAGATCCTTAACCAAATTTACGCGAATATGAAGTTGCACAGAGTATATTGGTTTTGTGTAAGTATTTAGTTTTCAAAGCCCAACGTGTACCTTTGTGAATGTGTGAAATGATCAAGCATGTAGATGGACCATGAAGGCCCAATAAACATATAAGGTGCATTCCAGACCCAATTAAACATGAAAAAGGACAACTAAGGCCCATTAAACATGTAAATTATATTCCAGGCCCAATAAGCATGCAAAGTGTATTTCAGGCCCAATAACCATGCAAAGTGTATTCGAGGCCTAATAAACATGTAAAAAAGACAACTAAGGCCATTAAACATGTAAATTATATTCCATGCCCAATAAACATGTAAAAGGGACAACTAAGGCCCATTAAACATGTAAATTATATTCCAGACCCAATAAGAATGAGAGTGACGTTATTGATCCGTTTGTTATTACGTTGGTTGTTAACTTTAGTTGTTTACCGAAAATTTTGGTCCTTAAAACAGAAAATTTACAATTAAGGCACCTTTTGGTAACATTGACACTTTAGGTCCTTTAAGGCCAAAAGTTCGTATTTAAGGCTAGTTTTATGTAAAAATGACATTTTTAACCCACGTTTGTCAAAATATCAATTTTTGGCTTAAGTTTATGAAAATGTGCATTCTCGGCCCCATTTATAAATAAATTTATCTTTTTGGCCCAAGTTTTAATAAATTTACATTTTCATCCCTTTTTATCGAAAATTTACATTTTTGGCACAACTTTGTTTAAAATGACACTTAAGACCACAAAAGTCCAAAAATTTACAATTTTGGCCCAAAAGCCGTGAAAGCCCAAATGAGGCCCATTTGTGATAATTTTCACTTTTAGCCCCTTGAGAATCGCAAATACCATAAAGACTCATATTTATCAAAGATAACTCCTTTTTGGTCCCTTAAAGCCGTGAGTTCTATAAATAACCTCACTTTTTATTATTTTGTCATTTTTGGCCCTCTCAGGCAATTTTCTTAGTTTTAAACAACTTTGAAGTGTTTTAAACCTTTTCTTTACATTATATGTTGTAAGAAGTGTTATGTTCTATAAATGTCATCATAAGTTAGTATATTTTTGAGTTTATGAAGTTTATAACACATAATCACTTATATCGTGAAAAACACACAAAATTATGCATATACACATAGATCTACACAAAACAACTTGTATTTTCCCCCAAAACATAATAAAAACCGAAAATAGGGGGTATGAACTCACATTGGTTTGAAGATTTCGGTTTTTGATGAAGATTGAGAAGGATTTCGGCCCTAGCAAGCTTCTTGAGTGGAGTTTTCGAACTTAAGATGGATCTAAGGGCATGGATCACGAAATGACGTGTTAAGGAGTGAAGTTTATCATAAAATGAAGTAAATCATCATAATTAGAGAGTAGCTTACCAAATGAGTGGACTTTTGGATGAAGTATTCTTGGATATACACCTTAGCACACACGAATTTTGGGAGAATAAGGGAGGTTTCCTTGAGAGTGTTTAGATGAGGAGTTTAGAGGTTGAGATTGTTGAAGTGTGGGTGGTGGTGTAGGCTCTTATGGCCGAGAATAGAAGGAGAGGGAGAGAAGAGAGAGATGTGACAAGATGGATGCTTTGGAACATGAGATTTAGCCTAGATATATGATGTATAATTGCTTGGTTAACCTCTAAACATTAGTGAGGTGGCACTCCCTAATTATCCTATTGTTTTTCCCTTTTTTTTTATTATAGCCGAGAATGAGGGGGAAGGAAAAGTTTGGGCCTTTTCTTGATTATGCTCAAAATTATGAGGTCCAAATTGAAGGTTTTCGGCCCATTGGGCCCATATGAGGGTTTACGGCCCAATAATGATAAGGAAAAGGAGTTTACGGCCCATTAGGGTTCAAGAACCCATTTACGGCCCATTAAGGCCCATGACAACAAAGTGAGACATTTTAGGCCCAATAAGGCCCATGAGAAGTCTTATGGCCCAAAAATGCTATTATTTAATGAATATGGGTCTATTTAAGGCCCAAATAGGGTTCCTTGACCCAAAATAACCAAACTGAGAGTTTACTGGCCCATTAGGCCCAACAAGAGGATCCTGGTCCATTCTGAGTTTGAATCAGGATATTAGGGTTTCAATTCCATAGTTGAGTAGATGAGATGTGTTGAATTAGGTTTTGAACTTCACTCATGAGTTTTGATTCAAATGGTTGATTTTGAATGAGCATAGTACATGACATCAACTTAGATTACAAGTTATACAAGAGTTGATTTTACATGAAGACAAAATTTCCTAGCTAAAATGCTAGTTGTGACATCCCGGGGTTCAAATACAGGCACAATATGGTTAGGGATGTTTTGGTCGACATATGTAAGTGTGCCGGGGTTTCTGCCAAGAAAGAGGCTCCTGTGAATTTTCTGTGAATTTTCTGACTGACCCGACAGAAGGAAGGTCAACCCTTAGACCGTCTGACGTTTTGATTTGTGGATGGGTTGGAGGGAAACACGCATGTGAGGACCTTACATGGGTATCCCCTCTCGTAAGCTTGAGGGCCGGGGGTTTAACGGCGGGACAGACTGCATTAAAAGATGCTACATGCAAGGTCACCAAACATGAGAAACCGTGCATGAAAAATCAACACGCGTTCATACCATTTGCATTTGATACGTTTGGTTTCCTTGCGCCGGATGCGGTGGAGATTCTTAGTAGACTACAAAGGATCATGCATAGCAATGTTATATCCCCTAGATCTATGGATTTAGTCTTCAAAAGAATAGACTTTACCATACAAAAGGGCTTAACGACGCAACTTGTTGTCCGTTTGCCTTCTCATTCGTTGTATGATGATAACTAAAATGTTTTAAGTTTTAATTTTTTTTTTTCAAAAAAAAAAGAATTTAAAATGTTTTGGGAAAAAAATTATGAACCAAAAGGCAGGCATTAAATTGTTATTTTTGTTTTACTACCATATCTTATGAAATATATTAGTCTTTTGGGTTAGTATGATAATAAGAGGAATCGAACTTTATGTTTGTCTAACACCTTGATTAATACTTTAAAATGAAGAAGTAATTTTGGTCCCCAATTTTCGTGAGGGCCTGGACAGTTGCCCAACCCCCTATTGGGCTGGGGATATCCAAACACATTCAGGTAGTGGTGGACAAAAACCGGTTTGGGTGAAATCGGTTCTGTTTGGACCGGTTTGAAGTTCTAGCCATTAAAATCGGTTTGTGACGGGTGTGACAGAAACATGCTTTGATGCATAAATATTTTGCATGGAGGTTGATATAATAAGCAACATGGAGGTAAATTTTACTTCTAGTTTCTATTGTAAGCAAACTTCAAGCAAACTCCAAGTGAGGATAAAATGGTCAATATAAGGCCGGACGGTATGGGGAGCGGGGAGGGCCGCAGGAAGTGTCCCGCACGGTGGAACACCGCACCGACGGTGCGGGAAGGGAGGCGCGGGAAAGAGGTGGGGGGAGGGGGTGCCGCACTCTCTCTCCTCATTCTATTGGTCAGTTTTTTTTTCTTTTATCTTTTTTAATATTTATAAAATTATATACCTACTAAAAAAATATAAAAAATATATCAAAGTTCATGGTTTTTAATTCCCTACAAAATGAGTATAATATATGTATGAAATATATTTTTTTAAAAAAATAAAAAAATAGCGAGGGGAGCTTCCCACCCATTCTTTGGGTTTTAGGTGAGGGAAAAGGTGGTGTGACCCACAAAAAGTGAGGGAAACATCCCTCCCATGCCCTCCAGTCTAAGGAAAACACCTCCCCACAGCGGTTGGGCAATCCAGAAAATCCAAGTGATGGTAGGACAGCTATTTTCAGCTTTATGTGTCTTTTTAAACTTTGTGTTTTGTGTATGTATTGTTTATATTCAAGTAGCTGCAGAAAGCACATTAGAGTGGGAATTCTTCTTCTTTTTGTCCCCTGTAACGAGAATCAAGACACAAAGTGGGCCATAGACAAAAAAAATTCAATCTGACCGGTTTTTCTAAACCTTTTTTACTCGTACAATATGTTGGTCAACCTCGTGAAGTGTTTCATTCATATCACCCCAATTAAAATAGGCATAGAAATTAAGATGACTAATAACACTACTGGTAATAACTTTTTGACTTTTATTCCATGTGAAAGTGAACCGAGATTCATCACTGAAACTTCTATCTATAAAAAATGATAGGTTTATGTCCTTATATAGGTTTGAATACCCAACTTAAAGCGTTTATGAGCACTGTATCAAATTTATTGGTGCTATCTCTAAAATAGCAAGTCCTTAAAACTTCTCCGCAAGAACTCGAGTATTAAATCACAATTTTCTTGCAACTTTTTATGTGACGTGGGGGATGGAATGATTGGTGGGCAATTGCTAGCCAATGTTGCCTATTGGACAATAAGAGGGAAATAAAGGAACCATCTTTTCAAATTTCAACCCATAGATATATAGCAATGTAATCTAGCTAGCTAGAAATTAATATACTTTTGCCAAGATGCTTGGTAATTACAAAGCCCAAAAGTCAGAACTTCTAGTTGTTTACGATGACAACACAAAGTAAGTCATCTTCTTTCAACAAATTCTGCTATATCTTGTGTGAGTTCAATGAAGGCTTCTTCTTTGCATGGGAGCGTTAGACCTCCCATAGGATGATCATAGCCAAACTCTTCTTCCGATAGCTTCAGCAAGGTCTGAAACGAAGGATGTTCTAGATATGTTATGGGAATTATAAATCTCTTGTTTGTGCCTTCACCAACATATACTGTGAGACAACCTTTTGGTACATCAATGGTTGCTGAGGTTGAATGATATCTTGCCATTCCCAGCTTGCCACGCAAGATTTTTGGAAATCTGTGTATGCCCATGATCACAATTAAAAGCTAACCTTGAAATTAAAATTTGGTGGCAGAGAGAGCACGAGTTTTGGAGAAAATTTGGGGAGAAGCTCAATAAGTTGAGTTTCCATACAAAACGAATATGGGTATATATAGGCATCTAGTTGCTACAAAGTCCAGAATGCGAAACTATCAACAGAATCAATATTCATAAATTTCTATAAATTTAATTTGGATACTCCGCATCTTATACCTTTTGGTGCATCCAAAGATAAATTCCCTTTGGTATCACAGTTATGTTTGCATGCATACAGAAAGTACCATGAATATGAATATTTGAGATAATCTTAGTGTGGTCATTTTGGATTATACCAATTGTACTATACCATACTTGTTGGGTTGGAAAACTCTTCTATTAAACACTAAAATAGAATTACAATAGGAGGAGCAACTCTCACACTCAACTATTACAAAAGACCAACCCTCTCACTAACACTCTCACTCTAAGTTTTATACCATTTGTGTCTCTGTATTTGGGATGCATACAACTGAAGAATGAAGTCTCTATTTATAGTCTTGGCAGCCACCATTGTAGTTGCGTCTATTAATTGTGTTCATCATAGGGTGGGAAGAAAAACTTGTGCCGTAGGTTTCATTTTGTCAACAATGATGGCTACTGTAGCTTTGGAGGCTTTGGAGGCTGGAACACAACAAATCTCCCCCTCCAGTCTCCGTCCAACAATCCTCATCCCAACTATGTCAGCACATAGTCTGTGTTTCTCTTGTGTCACCACCTTTGTCAACATGTCTGCAGGATTGTTATTGGTGTTGATCTTTAACAACTTCAATTCTCGTCCCTCAATTGCTTCTCTAAGCCAGTGATAACGTATATCAATATGTTTTGTACGGGAATGGTACATCGAGTTCTTACTCAGGTCCATAGCACTCTGACTATCGCAATGAATGATGTACTCTTCTTGTGGAAAGCCTAATTCTTGAAGAAACCGTTTCATCCATATAAGCTCCTTCCCAGCTTCAACGGCAGCAATATACTCGGCTTCTGTTGTTGACAGTGCGACACACTTCTGTAACTTGGATTGCCACGAGATAGCTCCCCCTGCCAAAGTAAAAATGTAACTTGATGTAGATTTCCTACTATCAAGATCTCCTGCCATATCGGCATCTGTATAACCTTCCACGATTGGCTTTGCTCCCCCGTAGCATAAACATAGTTTCGAACTACCCTTCAGGTATCGAAGTATCCATTTGACTGCTTCCCAATGTTGTTTTCCTGGATTAGCTAGATATCTACTCACAACACCGACAGCATGAGCAATATCTGGTCTTGTACACACCATTGCATACATAAGACTTCCTACGGCTGAGGAATAGGGGACTACCTTCATCTCTTCTTTTTCTTTCTCAGAAGATGGACAATTTTTCTTACTCAACTTGAAGTAGTTAGCCAAGGGCGTACCAACGGGCTTGGCATTTTCCATGTTGAACCTTTTGATCACACGTTCAACATACTCTTCCTGTGATAAGAACAATTTTCTTGATTTTCTATCACGGATAATTTTCATGCCCAATATCTGTTGTGCTTGGCCTAAGTCTTTCATATCAAAGAACTTAGACAAATCCTTCTTCAAGTTGTTGATCATCATTGCATCTTGGCCCACTATCAACATATCATCCACGTAGAGCAAAAGGATGACAAATTTCCCATCTGGAAACTTCTTCAGATAGACACAATGGTCTGCAACAGTTCTCTTGTACTCATGATTCATCATAAATGAATCAAACTTCTTGTACCACTGCCTTGGGGCTTGCTTAAGACCATAAAGGCTCTTCTTTAATTTACAGACGAGATGCTCTTTCTTTGGGACTTTAAAGCCATCAGGTTGCTCCATGTATATTTCTTCATCCAAATCACCATGGAGAAAGGCTGTTTTCACATCCATCTGCTCAAGTTCAAGATCTAGATTGGCAACTAATCCGAGTACAACTCGAATAGACATCATCTTCACAACTGGCGAAAAAATTTCATCAAAGTCGATTCCTTCTTTTTGTTGGAAACCTTTGACAACGAGTCTCGCCTTATACTTCATAGTATTTCCCTTGCCGTCTTTCTTCAACTTAAAAAAACCCACTTGTTTTTCAAGGCTTTCTTTCCTTTGGGGAGGTTTACCAACTCATATGTTTGATTCTTCTGCAAAGAATTCATTTCTTCTTCCATGGCCTTCTGCCAATTTGCTTTCTCAATATGAGATTGAGCTTCTTGAAAACTCTCTGGCTCCCCCTCACTAGTAAGAAGGATGTAGTTTGAAGTCGGATATATATTGTTGATGGAGCACGTACTCGTTCGGATCGTCTAACTTGAGTTCCTTCGTTTGCAACTTCTGGCAGTGGATCTGAATTATCCAGGGGTGGAAGCTCCCCCTGCTCAACACCTTCTTGATCTGCATCATCGACTTCTTCATCCACTTCTTCAGTGGAAACATCATCTTTATTTTTAGATATTATATCTGAAACTTTGGAGCTTTGTTGCTTGTTAACCGGTGCCTTGAAATCATAATACTGGTTTTCATAAAAAACCACATCTCTGCTTCGAATAACCTTATTTAGTTCTGGGTCCCATAGCCTGTACCCGAACTCTTCATCTCCATATCCAATAAAGATGCATGCAGTGGATTTGAGGTCCAATTTCTTCCGCAACTCACTTGATACATGTGCAAACGCTTTGCACCTAAATACTCTCAAGTGAGAATATGATATGTCTTTACCCGTCCATATCTTCTCCGGAACTTCAAAATTCAATGGAGCGGAAGGTGACCTATTTATTAGATAGCAAGATGTCAATACAGCTTCACCCCATAATGGCTTTGGGAGTTTAGTCATGCTGAGCATGCATCGAACTTTCTCAACAATGGTGCGATTCATCCGTTCTGCTACACCATTGTGTTGTGGGGTTCGTGGGACAGTCTTTTCATGTCTGATACCATGTTCCGTGCAGTATTTAGAGAACTCACGGGAATAGTATTCGCCTCCATTATCTGATCGGAGACATTTTAGCTTCTTGCCTGTTTGTCTTTCCACCATTGCATGAAAAGCTTTGAAGCGGTCCAATACTTGGTCCTTCGTTCTCAAACAGTATGCCCATACCTTTCGTGACGCATCGTCAATGAATGTCACAAAATACCGGCTTCCACCAAGAGATTCTACTTCAATGGGTCCACATACGTCGGAGTGGACAAGGCTCAGCAACTCAGAGCGGTTCTTTCTTGTAGAGCTAAAGGAAACTCTGTGTTGTTTCCCGAATAGGCAGTATTTACAAGGATCCAAGGCAACATCTTTTGCCATTGAAATGGACTCCTTCTTTGCAAGAGTCGTCAATCCCTTCTCGCTCATGTGGCCTAGTCTTCTATGCCACAAGTTTGGTGATGTCTCTTCTTTAACAACATTGAGACTTGGTTGAAGCAACTTTGCATGACTTTTATAAAGAGTACCATCAAGTTTTCCCCTTGCAACAACCATAACACCTTTCAACAACTTCCAGGTGCCATTTTTGAATTGATTATCATATCCTTGGATGTCAAGAGCTCCAACTGAGATAAGATTCATTCTCAGCTCTGGGACCTGCCAAACATCTTTCAACACCAATGTACATCCAACATTGGTCTTTAAATGCACATCACCAATACCAGCAATGCTTGAGAAACTGGTGTTTCCCATCTTCACGGTACCATGGTCTCCGGGTTTATAAGTACAGAATAAATCCCGGTTTGGAGTCGAATGATATGATGCAGCGCTATCAATCACCCACTCATCATCATGAGTTTCAACATGTAGGCATGCTTCCTCCTCGTATGTAACAAGGGCAACGTCTTGTGTTATGGTGACCATGGTTTCACCATTCTCCCTGCTTGGATTCTGGCTTGTCTCGGGCTGCTCTCGTAAGAACCTTCGGCAATCACTCCTTTTGTGGCCATAATAATTACAATGATTGCAATAGCCTTCGAACCATGTATTTGAAGATTTACCTCGCTCTCGCGATTTCCCTCGATCTCGTGATTTCCCACGATCTTGGGATCTTCCTCTACTTTGACCATGTCTACCTCTGCCTCTACCTCGACCTCGGCCTCCAGTTCTGCCTCCGCCTCTTTCTTTGTTTTCTGACACGAGGGCAAAAGACTGGTCTGTACCAGCTTCTTTCCTTCTGGCTTCCTCGTTCATTAGGGCATCTGTGACCATCTCCATTGTCACTTTACCACCGGGGGCAGAATTGCTGAGAGTCACAACAAGCGTCTCCCAATTATCTGGTAGAGAACTCAAGAGCAATATGGCTTGTTCCTCGTCTTTGAGAACCCAATCAGCAGCACCGAGCTGGTTTACGAGATCCTGGAACTGACTCGTATGCTCGGTTATGGACGTACCACTTCGTAACTTGTGGTTTACAAGGCGCCTCATCATCAAGGTCTTGTTGCGTGCCGTCTTTTCCTGATACATATTCTCGAGCTTCTCCCAAAGTTTGTACGCGTCTGTCTCTTGAGAGACATGATGAAAAACACTGTGGTCGATCCACTGTCGAATTTGTGCCACCGTTTTCCTGTTTATTCTCGTCCAAACTTCGTCTGTCTTCGTGTTGGGTTTGACGCCTTGCTTTTCTATAGGCTCTGCTAAATCTTTCAGATTAAGCAAATCTTCCATCCTTGGCTTCCACATGTTGTAATTTGTGGGCGTAAGTCGAACCATCGTAATCGTACTTGTAGATTCCATCGAAAATAATTGCAAATTTATTTTACAAATATTTCGTTGAAAAATTAGATAAAACCGAGCTCTCGGTTGGATTCGGAAGCGTCAAAAATGGTGGGGTAGAATTTTTCGGGCTCAAAATATACTTTCTTGAAAAGTTATGTGCTAATTTGTAACTTTTCAGAACTATAGGGGCTAAACTGTAATTTTCGGAACCTACAGGGGCCAATCTGAAATATTTCTGCCAACCAGGGATTTTTCTGAAACTTTTCAGAACT